GCCCTCTTCCTTTTGGCCATGTCGTTTATGGTGCGCCCGTCGGACCGACCTCTCTACAGCGGTCTTGTCTCATTTGCGGCGCAATCAGTTGCCGTGCTGATGATTGCTGGTGGCCTCTTCCGCGCCACTGGTGGGGTGTTCACACGGCGGAAGCACCAAGAGGAGTGGATCTTGGACAACGTAAAGGACGTTCTGTGTGAACTGCTGGACTGCGCGTCTTCTGTGAAGGTGTGCTACGTCTTGCTGGGGTTGGAGGTCGTTGCAGAGCTTGGCAAAATGCTGCAGGGACATGCATGCGTGTGCGTTGTACTTATGGTGTGGTCGGGGTGGTTATTACTCAGGGATAGAGTACTGTTCGTAGCAAAGTGAAGAAAAATGGGAGGAAACATGTTTTTTTGTTTTTTCTTTTTGCCGTGCTCTTGCGCAGTCGTCTGCACGCGAAGGTGGTCTCTGGCGGTGAGGTGTAGCTGCGGCATTGGGGCTGTCTTGCGAAGGCAACAACCCCGCCTCCTCCTTACCATCTCCCCCTTCCTCTTTTTTGCTCACCCCTTGTTGCACCGTGTGTGTGTTTGGGGTGGGGGTTACCTGGACAAGGGAAGCAGCAAGAGGTCGTGTGCGAGTGAGAGGGTGAATGCGGAGGGCATGGCTTGCACGCTGTGCGGCGAGCACATCCGCTCCCGGCGCTTCCTCCTCCTCTCCCTCAGCGAGTGAGATGCAGCGCCGCATCCGCGCGGCGGACATCACGTTGCGTGTCGCCACAAAGGACGGCACCGCACGTGTTGTCTACGCCTCTACGTCAGGGCTTCTGCGGGAGACGCTGCGGCGCCACAACTTGGCGGCACGCACACACGGGCACCGTCCATTCCTGCAGCTCCTTGGGACGCACCTGAGCCTCACCAACATGCTGGCAGCGCTACAGGAGGGCGAGGAACGCGTGGCGTCGCGCTTCACGGCGGAGGAAGCCACAATAGTCGTGGAGGCATTGGCACTCGGTGAGTGCCGCTGCTATGTGCGTGGTGATTGCAACGCAACGATTGAGGGGCCACCGTTTCCGTTCAGCGTTGGTCGCACTCTCTATGGGCAGAGCCAGCCGTTCTGGTCAACGACAGCAGCACAGCTGGGTCAGTTCCTCACTGAGGAGGAGGAGGAGGAAACTAACGAAGGCAACTCGGTGCCAATCGCGCTGGGCTTGGCAGATGTACCACGAGAAGAGCTGCTGGCGAACTTCCACTACAACATCTCGCTGCATGGCTACAACTTCTTTCGGAAATCAGAGGGGTCGGCGTCGGCGCTGTGGTGCTGCGTGCACCTTGACGACCCGGCCATCCAGAAGTCACTCGCAGAGTACACGCAGCAGGAACATGAGCAGAAAGACGCCACTTCGAGCAGTGGCGGTGCACTTGACGAAAAGGACAACAACCTTGACATGGTGTTGGCACGCGCGGGGGTATCGTACGGTATCCTCGTGCAGCCACTCGTGGCAACGCGAGCTGTGGAGGTGCAAGTGCATCAACTGCAGCGCGCCCTCCTGCGAGCCTCCATCGCAAACCCGGCAGTGTTCCGCGAGCTGTCGCGGCGGGCGGTGGAGGAGTGCCTCTCGTGCCAGGACACCCTCTCGCTTGTCACTGGGGATTATGAGGGTGCCTACACGGTCGCGATGGCGGCACGACAGTTCACACAAGACCCCTCCACTGCGGCGCCTGTAATCGAGAAGCTGCGGCAGCAGCTCGGCGTGAATGATTTCCGTCTGTCACTGGACTGCGATACACCAAAGCGAAACAGGCTTGACTATCTCTGTCGCTGTTCGAAGGATAGTTTCCTGCAGTCGATGAGTGTTCTTCCAGCGGATGAATTGGCGCGCTTCATGCATGAGACAAGCTTTCGATGCGTCTTTTGCGGCAAGGAACGTCGCCTGCACCAGGAGGACTGGCAGAAGGTGCTGCAAAAGCGTGGTGGGTGAGTATGGGAGTGGCGGCAGCAAGGATGGCGGGTTGCTTCAGCTTTGCCTTTCCTCTCTGCGCGCGTGTGTGTATGTGCGTAGGCGGGCATCTTTTGTTCTTCTTTCCGTCTCTCCACCCATCCTTTGTTGTCTGCTGAGGAGACGAAGGGAGGCTGTATTTCTCTTCACTCTCTATCTCTATCTAGGGCTCGGCTTCCTTTTTCCTTTTTTTTTTGTTGTTGTATTCCTCCACCCCATTCTCTCTGTCCTGTTCTGCTTTTCATTCTTTCTTCTTCGTCTCTTCACTGTGCTTCTCTTTTCATTTATCTGAGTAAAACAAATTACGGTGTGTTACACGTATACATACTCGTGGTTTCGTGCAGACAAGGGAATAACGAGGTCTTCTTTCTATCCGCAATGTTCAGCGGTCAGAGCGACAAGCCGAAGGGAGCGAAGCAGGCTCCCTCCGTTAAGGGAGGGGCAGAACGCCGTCGGCGCCAGATGGTCAGTGTACGGCACAAGGCCCACGGAGAAATGATGAAGCACGTTCGGGAGGACCACAACGACGGCGAAGGTGGCCAGGTCCTTGAAGGAGAAGCAATGAACGTCTGGGCATACAACGACAGGACACGCCCTGACGCTGTTCCACGGGCGCTGCTTCCTGAATTTGTCCGTATGGTGATGGAGGGGCCGACAGATAATGAGCTATTTCACGGAACACTGATGATCCGCAAGCTACTTTCTGTGGAGCAGCAGCCACCACAAGATGCTGTGACGCAGAGTGGTGTTATTCCGTACCTTGTTAATCTCTTGGAACGCACAGATTACCCACAGCTGCAGTTTGAGGCCGCATGGGCGCTGACGAATGTGGCGGCCGGCACCACACAGAATGCAGTTCATCTTGTTGAGTCGGGCGCAATGCCTCGATTTGTGGGACTCCTCGGATCGGAGCATGCGGACTGCCGTGATCAGGGTGCGTGGGCCATTGGAAACATGGCTGGGGATGGTGTTAGCTGCCGCGATCTGGCCTTGCAATGCAATGCCATACCCGCACTGCTTCATGCCTTGTCTATTCCGGATCAGCCAATCAATGCTGCTCGCAACGCTGTGTGGGCTGTGTCGAACTTGTGCCGTGGAAAGCCGCCACCGGCGCTGGAAAGTGTGGCAATTGCCCTCCCAATGCTCGGAAGCCTACTTCACCACCCAGATAAGGAGGTGGTAACAGACGCCTCGTGGGCGATTTCGTACATCAGTGATGGACCACATGAACGTGTGCAGGCCGTGATAGATGCGGGTGTCATACCCCGCGTGGTGGAGCTCCTTGCATCACCACTGACGCCTCTACAGACTTCGTCGGTACGCACGATCGGCAACATCGCCAGCGGTGACGATTCACAGACACAGATTATCATCAATTGTGGTGTCCTGGGATTGATGGGGCCGCTCCTGACACACCGCAAGCGTGAGATCCGCAAGGAGACCTGTTGGACCATCTCCAACATTGCGGCGGGGTGTGCGCCACAGATCGATGCCCTCGTATCTTCAGATATATTCCCGTTGGTGATTAAATGTCTGGAAGGTTCAGATCTCGATGTGAAGAAGGAGGCAGTTTGGTCAATCGCCAATGTCACACTCTGCGGTGTTGCGGATCACCTGCGCTATCTGTTGAATTGCAACGTGATACCTCCACTGTGTGACACTCTGACGACTCATGAATCAAAGATTCTCACAGTTGCCCTTGAGGCCCTGTTGGGATTCCTTCAGCTAGGCGAGGACGATTATAAGGCAGGCCATACTCCAGAAAACATGGTTGCACGAGCGATCATTGAGTGCGGTGGCGTAGATTCGATTGAACGCATGCAGTCATATACAGACAAGAATGTGTACACCATGGCCCTTCATATCCTTGAAACGTATTTTAATATTGAAGAGGGAGCCCCGAACGAGAGATTTGACATGGCAATGGAGTTTGGCGAGGGTGAAGATAAACCAAGGAGCGCAGGCTTTGATTTTTGAGAGGCCAGGTGAAGAATAAAATGATAACTAAGAAGACACCATGTGAGAGAGAGAGAGAGAGANAGGCTTTGATTTTTGAGAGGCCAGGTGAAGAATAAAATGATAACTAAGAAGACACCATGTGAGAGAGAGAGAGAGAGAGAAAGTGTGTGTGTTTGTGTATGTGTGTGTGTGTGTGTTTGTGAGAGTGAGTGAAACAATATATATATATTTATAAAAGAGGAGTTCGGGTCTGAATAAACGCACATAAAGCTAAAATCTGCCACACGAGCGCTGCCTTCTTGAACTTTACAAAGATACTTCACAAATTGTGTCAGATGGGGTAATGAAGATGATGAATTTGTGGAGATGTGAAGGGGGGGAAGGGTGAGCACACTCCATCATCCCATCCCCTTCCGTTTATTGAAGGGGGGGGGGGGGGGGNGGGGGGGGGGGGGGCGAGAGAGAGAGAGAGAAACAGGAAGTGATTGGGGGAGGAGAAGAAGCATCGATTAAGCCACCCTCTCACCAGCTGATTTCCAGTGCCCGGCAGTTCGACTTTGGTGTAAAGTTTATACAAATCAGCTTTTTTTTAACTTATGAAAAGGAAAAGATGGTGGTGTTGGTGGTGGTGGCATGGGAAGGGGGAGGGGAGGTACTTTCCTCCATTCCCTTTCCCACACGAAGAGAAAGAATTGTTCTCTACATCTCGATTTCCAGTATATGCGTACCATCTGCCACATCTACACCCCCACGTTCGAAGTGTCTTCGCCCACTACACTGCACTGCTACTGGGATACACTGCCTGTCGGAGCGGTGATAATTGTTGTCTTGTTCATTTGCAT